CAGGAGACTCCCTGTCATGTGCACTGCTTTCCAGAACCAGCAGCTGTGAACACCTGCACCTCCAAGCAATTGCACAATGATCACTGATTAAAAGGAAGATACTACTTACTTCGCACCATCAAACACAATGGATTTTACTTGACCACACTGTCTGAAGAGGGACTGCAGTTGCTTGTGGTAGAGGAATCCGTAGGGAGGGATGTGCTTCAGCTGTAAAACAAAACACAGTCAATGACAGATGACACACAACTAGTGATGTGGCTACTGTCCTCATAAGCTCAGAGCTGCCACACCACCCTACAGCTATGAAGTACACACCACCCTCTCTTTCACCATGACACATAGGCTCCACAGATCCTGTGTTAATGGGGAGTGACATTTAAAAGATCATAACAAAGTTTTTGAAAACAGAAGTACCATTTGACCCAGCAATTCCATTACTAGGAATATATCCTAAAGAGGTGACAGATAGTGCATGGACAGACATAAGTACACCTATGTTCATCGCAGCACAATTCACTATAGCAAAGAGATGGAATCAACCTAAATGCCCATCAACAGATGAGTGGATAACCAAATTATGGTACATGCATACAATGGAATACTATGCTACATTAAAGAACAATGAGGGATATGCAAATCATCTCACAAGGTGGGTGAACCTGGAGGACATTATGCTGAGTGAAATAAGTCAATCACAGAATGACAAGTACTGTATGAGCCCATTACTGTAAAAAGACAAAAAAGGGTTTGCTTGGGAAAGGGAACTCACTTAGTAGGTTACCGGGATGCGGAGGGAAGGGGAGGGATTAATTTCGGGCTAGTTGGGGCCCACATGCTAATGTGGGTAGGGGGACCGATATACAGGAAGGATCTGTGACCACCATGATAACATTAGGAAATGGGAGGACACTGGATTGTGCACATAAGAGATAGAGAACAGATGTTAATACCAACCAATGTGTCCACAATACTCATAAACACCTGAGAGAATCAGATGGGGGTCAGTGAACAGGAGTATACTCTGGACTAAGGATAGATTTAGCTGAGGTTAATCTTGCACAGACACCAGTGATACAAAATACCTGCAGTCCTTACAGAAACAATAGAAGACAAACACAGAGTAATCCGTCACAGACACCCAGACACTATGGGAGAGAGAACCAATAGATCTACTGTCTCAAGACCAAAGTACTGAGGGACACCAGACTCAACTGGCACAACAAAATACATAAAAACCTTGCTCCGCATCCTACATTGATGAGTAGCAACTGGGTTGTCTTAAAATCTTTCAAGCGGCCATCTTAAGATGCAGCTAACGGTCTCCTAGCATCAGACGCGAAGAACACACACACACACACACACACACACACACACACACGGCATTTAGAAGCAATCAGCCCTAGAACACAATGGCCCTCGAGACCAGAAGAACTAGATGGTGCCCAACTACCAATGCCAACCACTCGGGAAAGGATCAAATCTGGAGATCCTGGATAGAGTGGGAGGGAAAATATGGAACAAAATCCAAAAACTCAATGATGACCAGAATTATTGGTCTTATGAAATCTGGTGAGACCCCAATATTATGGCCCCGGAATACATTCTGCGCCTGGAATAAAA